CACGCGCGCCCACCCGCGGACCCGCGCGGGGGGCGCTGCGGAGGGGGCCATGGCCGGGCGCATCCCGGCCCGCGCGCCCGAAGAGTCCGCCAGGCGCGGGTGGGCCACGGCCTTTGGAGCGCGACGGCAACTGCCTGGCCGATTTTCGGGCCAAGCAGGGGGCTGACCTCCATGCAGCTGCTGGCGACGACGTGTTGGTTCTGGAGGGCATCCTGGCGCGTGCTCGCGACGCGGCTCGCTTCGCGGCGGAGATCGAGGTCCATGTCACGGACGCGGGGGCCCGCGACTGCTGGCCCACGGCGGCCCTGGAGGACTTGGTCTTCGAGGTTCCCGAGGAGATCTGCGAGGCCAGCGCGGCGGCAGGGGGCCCCCCAGGCTGGGCGGCGGCAGCTGGCCCGGCGGTCTTTGCAGCAACGGCGGCCCCCAGCGCGGCCCCCGGCGCGGCCGGTCCAAGGGCGGTGGCCAGCGGCGCCAGCGGCTCCCCTGCGGCCAGCGCCCAGCCCGAGCGAGACGGCGCCGTGGCAGCGGACGGCGGCAGAGCGAAGGACTCTTCGGCTGGGGCGACACTGCGGGGGGCGGCGCGCAGACTCAGGGCGGAGTAGGAGGCCCCGCACCAGTCCGACGGCCCTCCGAAGGCGGCGAGACTTCGAGGGGCTCGGCAGGGGGGTCGGCGCGCAGTTCTGGAGGGCAGGCAGCCACATCGTCTGGGGCGCGGCCGCCTTCGGAGGAGACGCGCGCGAGAGGCAGGCCCAGCAGGGCCATTACCGCTTCGGAGGAGGTCGCGTGGAAGCAGGGGGGGTCCCAGGTTTGCGACGTAGCTGGGCCTCAGCGAGGTGGGCTGGAGACTCGCGCGCGGCGACCTCGCGGAGGTGAGTCGAGAGCTGGCAGGTGCAAGAGCCGCCTCCGCCGTGTTCCCAGGGTGAGCCGTGGGCCGTCAATGGGCACCAGGTGATGCAGGGCCAAGTCCTCGGCGGCTCAGAGGCGCCCTTCCTGGTCTGCACGGCGTGCTACCTGTTCGCCAGGTCCCCCGAGATGGGGTGGAAGGGGCCCCGAGACGCACGCCGCGGGGCGGCCTCCAGGCCGCGGCAGGGCTCGCGAGCTCAAGCCAGGGCGGACTTGCTGAAAGGTCTGGCCCCTGGCACGAAGCCGAAGCAGCCGCGCGGAGAGCTGCGCCCCCCCGCGGCGACCATCAAGTTGCAGTTGGCCGAGACCCGGGCGCCGCGGAGCACGGCCTTGCGCGACGGATCCAGCGGAGAAGGCCGACGCCAGCGTGGAGGCGCAGGACGAGGCGCGGCCTGCAGCGGGCAGGGCGGCAACGCCGTGGGCCCCACCAGCCGCCGCCCGCTCCGCGCAGCACGAGCCCCGCGCTCATCGTGCCGTCCCTTGAGGCGGTTGCCCGCGCCATGGCGCGGGCCAGGGGCCCGGCTACGAGGGGCGAGCGGGCGGCGGCGGCGGCGGCCCATGACGGCGGCGAATGCGGGACCCGCAAACTTGCATGACTTCACTCAGGGGCCTCGCGGCCCTTGCAGAGCAAGATGCCATGACCGTGCGGTTTCTGGGCCTCCGGCTGGGAAGCCGTCGCGGGGTGCGACGCGGGCCGGTTCGCGCTCGGTCGTGGGGGCCTCCCGTGCGCCCAGATTGCAGGATCCCCTTACGAATGTTTCGGCTACGCGTACGAATGACCCTTCGCCGGAGTGACCTTTGGCGTGGGCTCGTCGGGGTCTCCCGACCGCTGAGCCGAATTCATCAGGCTTTGCGCGCTTCGATTCGACCACTTTGCGCCCCCCCAAGAACCGCACATCAAAGGTCATTCTTACCCAGGGTCACTTTTGCGTGTAACCGAATGTCAAGACTGAACCAGCGATTGCGATGATCGACCACCCCCCTTTCGGCGACACCAGGTTCAAGAGGCGAATGCCATTCCTCCGACCCCCAGGAGAAGGGTCACGTCAACGGGTGGGGCCTCTTTCTTGGAGACCCTCTGGGGGTCTTCTTTCGGGCCTGTTCTTGGCCATATGGGGGCCTCTTCGGTCCTCTTGATAGTTTCTTGGGCGCCTGCAGGCGGTCTCGGGGGTCTTCTTGGGGCGGATGTTCGGAATGTCAGTTCGAGTTATCTCCTTTGGGGCCCTATTTGGTCTCCATTGGGCCATCTTTGGGCGCCTCTTGTGCCGTCTTGGGACCAACGTCGGCCGTCCGTCATGCAGTGATCATGGTCACCTTTTTGAGCTGTCTTAGACGTTGTTGGGATCAATCATGTTTACATGCCAACTTTTCCCGATGGATGTTTACGACTCCTGCTTCTTAGGGCCGTTTCGGGGGTCGTCGTGGCGCCTTTGGGGGCGTTTTTGAGGACACCTGCACAGTCTGAGGCTACCTTGGCTGTCTTCCAGGGCGTCCTGTGCGTGAAGAAACCCTGCTTGGGCAAGTGCAGGTCGATTCTGAGGCATCTCAAGGCAGCAGGGTGCAGACATGGAGGCACGGAAGCCCCAGGGGAGCGGTGATGAGCTCGGGTACAACCCTCCCCCCACGAGCCCCACACCCTCTCATTTGGTTTCGTGTGTCAAAGGAGGAGGAGGAGGAGCAGGAGGAGGAGCAGCAGGAGGAGGAGCAGGAAGAGGAGGAGAAGGAGGAGGAGGAGGAGGAGGAGGAAGAGGAGGAGAAGGAGGAGGAGGAGGAGGGGAAAAAAGGGGAGGAGGAGAGGGGGAAAGGGAGAGGGGCACAGCCCATCATCTCACAAGCCCTTGCACCCCCGGCAAGCGGGGGTCGGCGGATCGTTGCCCGCCCCTGGAAGTGACATGTTCTGCCCCCAGGACCTCCAGTGCGGGATGACGAGGGGGGGCGAGGGGAGGAGCGCCGCGGCCGTGGGTCGAGGCCCGTCGCCGCGTGTAGGTGCACCGCACTCCTGCGAGCCTTTCGAAGCCGAGACCGACAAAAAAAAAGGACCTCCAGTGCGGGATGCCGCCAAGATCATCATGGGATCCCATAAGACCCCCATCGGATTCGAATCGGGTTCTTGCAGGATTCCCGAAGACCCCTGGGGATCTCGAATGCTGCAGGACTCCTGCTCATTCTTTGAGTTCCTCAGGAGTCCTGGAGGTTTCCTCCAGATTCTTGATGATTCTGGAAGAATTCCTGAAGGACTCCCCGCGGATTCCTAATGATTCGGAAGGATTCCGGAAGGGTTCCTGAGAAATCGTTGTTTTTGTTTGTGATTTGGGAGAATGCCTAAAGATCTTTAAAAATCCGTGGAGATTCCTCAAGGATTCTTGAAGTATTCTTGGGGGTTCCAACAAAAGGTTCCTGTCGATTCCTTAAACATTCGTCAGGTTTCGTGAGGGTTCCCGGCAAATTCGTTGTTCCTGCGGCCCCCCCCCGAGTAATTATTTGAGAGGGGGATGGGCATGAGCAGGGGAAGCAGGAGGAGGGAGGATGCGGACGAGGAGGAGGAGGAGGAGGAGGAGGAGGAGGAGGAGCTGGAGAGAGCAGAGTGGGACGATGCGGACGATGCGGAGGAGGAGGAGGAGGAGGGGGAGGGGGAGGAGGAGGAGGAGGAGGGTGGCACAGGAGGCTGGGGGCGGAGGGAATGTGAGCGCTCGCGGCAGCCGTTTCCGGCAAGGCGTTTGGGCTCCGTTTCGTCACCTCCCCGCCGTGGGCGCTCTTCACTGCCCGGGAGAGGCAACGGGGGCCCAGGGGCAGGCAGGTGGACACACATCGTCCCCCCTCCCCCCTCCATCTCCCCTCCTTCTTCTCGTCTTCCTCGTCCTCGACATCGTCGTCATAATCATCAGCAGCAGCAGCAGAAGCATCATCACCACCACAGCATCATCATCATCATCATCATCATCATCATCATCATCATCATCATCATCATCATCATCATCATCATCATCTTACAGTGCCTGGCCGAACACCCCATCGGACAAACGTTTGGGGAACTATGGCGGCCACCTGTGCTAAAAGCCCTTTGGGAGGATGAGGAGGTTCGTGACGCGTTCCGACAGTGCGACACCCGAGCGTTGCGAGCGACCTTCTGGACTACGAGATGGACCCCCCTAGGCACCAGTAGGCTCTCCGAGGCCCTGCCGTCTGCCGAGCACGTCGAGACCGACAGCGACACCGAGTACGACCGACCCTTCAAATGTTATATTCCTGGTTGCCCGTCAAGGTTCGAAACTATGAAACGCCTGGTCTCACATCAAACGTTTTCGAAAGCGGACGGACATGGATATCCATCTATCCTTACATTATTGCAGGTGGACAATCAATGTATTGCATGTCGCACCACATTTCCTAACCATGAACATGTTGTACGACATATACGAGGATCATGGATTGCTCGACGCTGTATACATGACTTCACACACCATGAGTACCCATGGACGGCAGCTGCGACGACGACGTGTCCCCTATGTGAATACGATCTGGATCCCCCATGCCACTATGACTATATGGACCCAGAAAAACTACGAGCACATGTGTATACCCACCTTCCTGTGTCGCCATGTGGATTACGGCTCAAGGTTGTTTTCAGACTCGAGGCCAGGGGGGCTCAGGTCGTATCGCCAGGATGAGTGCCACCTCCGCCACTCGCACATCCAGTCAGTAGACCACTCCGTGCAGTACGCGATACATCGGCTGCTCGACGGCAACTACGACGAGCCACAGACCATCTACTACGGCGAGGTGCTGACCCCGCGCTACCTGTTTCAGTACGCAGACACCGAGTACGACTTGATTTAAGACGGCCTACAGAGAGGGGCAGTACTGCTATACCAGTGGCGCGGTCAACATACGTGACATCGACGCCGACAGTAGCCAGGCCTTTTCCACGGCATGATGACGGGGGAAGCGGCAGCCAGCAGCAAAGACAAGGGGCCAGCACGAGCACCGCGGCGCCTCCCCCTGAACTCCTCGAAGGACTCACAGGGATCTGGCAACGCATCCAAAGCAGGACAGCTGCCGTCAGCAAAACACCAGGCCCTCCCCCACAACGACGCGAGATGGACGACGAGGACGGGGAAACGGGGGAGGCCGAGGCAGCTCCTCGGCGCAAGCAGCGCCGCCCAGGACGGAGGACGGGGCGAGGCGACCATTCGGAGAAGAAGTGGACGAGTCTTGCCGTTACTGAAGTCGACGCTGAAGCTGGTTCTCCAAACGGCGCATCGCACGAGACTCAACAGTTCTTTGGCGACGGATACCGAAACGTGCCCGAAGACTCACAAGGTGATCGACGCGGTGAGCAGCGAGCTGGAAGGGCACAAGAACCACTTGGACCACCTACGCCACGGATCCGCGGAGGACAAGAAGAGGTTGAAGGAGATAGGCTCCCCCGCGCCCGGCCTGGGCCTTGCGGCCCTGGAAGGAGCACTCAGCTGCGACATCGGGGGGGCGCTGCGCAGCGAGATCGAGGACTACCTGAAGAAGGCAGACCCCCCCGACGAGAATATGGATCCAGAAATCACGAGGGACGATCTCGCCGAGGAGATCAGCTTCATACGGCTCGAGAATTGCTTCGACACGGAGAAGATGAAACTTACCATTGGAGCTCCCGAGTGGGGAGGCAGGAAGTTGCTCATGAGAGCTTCCCGTTCAAAGGGCACGGTTACACACCACCACGGGGTAGCGCCAGCGGGTTGGCTCGAGGACGAGGTCGGACACTGGCTGGATACGCTCGACCACGAATAAATTTCTTGAGAGGTGAAGACATACCTGGAACGATCACGACACGGAGGACGTCCCGACCTCTATCTTCATCCTCATCTGGGATCATTAGGCCTACGCCAGGTTCGCCGCCTGCCCCCCCCCCCCCCGCTGTAGCCAGACCAGCGCCTGACACACAGCGACCTCTCAATTCAGAGCCCCTCGATGGGGCCGATTTCGCCGCAGGGGAAGACGCCGCCGAGTTTATGCAGCAGCTGAATCCCCACTCGCTGGCATGCCGCTCCCCTGTGAAGCACCCAGGGAGTGTCGCCCCGCGCGCGGTCCACCGAGAGTTTTGTCTCTCTGCGACGGGTCATGAATTTTTTTGTTCTGACGATGCAACAAGTCATCTGCTCTTAGCCCTAACGTCGAGGAAAAAGCAGCATCATCATCACCACCACCACCGTCATCATCATCACAGCATCACACATCGTCAGCATCAGCAGCACCATCATCATCACCATCATCCTCGCAACATCATCACCATCATCGTGAGCTTTCGTCTCGTCTTCCTCCTGCTCGCCCTCGTCCATCTCCTCCTCGTCCTCCGTTCTCCCCTGCCGCCTGTCGCATCCCTGCTGCCTCCTCCTGCCCCTCCCTTTCCTTGTCGGCGGGCCAGGCGTTCCGTTCGAGACTTCCCCGCCACGTCTGACCCTGAAGCTTCAGATTTGCAACAGCCTCAAGGATGGAGCACACGTGGTCGCTGTTTGTTTGAAACTGTCTCTCTCTCTCTCTCTCTCTTTCTCTCTTTCTCTCTCCTTTGTTTTTTCTCTCTCTCTCTCTCTCTTTCTCTCTTTCTCTCTCTCTCTCTCTCTCTCTCTCTCTCTCTCTCTCTCTCTCTCTCTCTCTCTCTCTCTCTCTTTAGCAGCGCGCACATTCGTCTTAACAGTTTGCAGCACGATCGACAGATGGAGGGTGGGCCGTTTTTGTTCGAGTAGCTCTCGCTTTGGCGACGCTCTCATTCGTCAAGCGCAAAAGCTTGCAACATGTTGAGGGGAGGAGGGCATTTTCCTTCCCATATGTTGCTGTCGCCTTGGCACCTCGCGCAGTCGTGCTCATACAATTCAGGTGTTTCATAGATGGCGGGGCCGTTTCAAGGTGGCTCTCGCCTGAAGGCCACGCAGATGCGTCTTAAACGTTCGCGCATTCAGGGTTCGAATGGGGCCGCTGTCAGAATGTGGGCCTTGCTTTAGCGCCGCACCTAATCGCTTTTAACATATGAAGCAGCGTAAAGGGTGGACTTGGGTGTCTTTTCCAAATGCGGTTCTCGCTTTGGTGCTGCGCACATTTGTTTCTACATGTGGCAGTGGCTTCGGGGATGGAGGGGGGTCCTTTTCAAAATGGGGCTCTCGCCTTAGCTCCGCGCGCATTCGCCCAACAATCCTGCAACAGCTCACAGGGTCGAGCTCAGGTTGGCTCCTACGTTGGGCTCTCGTCCAAGCGCCGTGGACATTTGTTGTTTTGCATGCAACGTTTGGAAGGATCGAGGCGGGTCTTGCGCAAATGGGTTATCGCAAGAGGTTTCGTCACTTCTACCAGAGCCCGAACGTCAACGCATGTAGCGCTGCACCTATCCAGGGCGGCTCCATTTTCGAAATGGAGCTGTCGCTTGACAGCTCCCCGATTTCCATGACCACATCTGCGAACTTATGCAGCATATACACGTTTTGGTCCCCCGGAATTTTTAGAAAGGTGGGTATCGTTGGACACCTTGTACAATTCTATGATCATATCCACCGCGTCCACCGCGTCGCCAGAACATATGAGGAGGGGAGTTGGGACGGGAGGGTGTATATCAGCGTCGCTGGCACATAGTTGGTTTACTCTTGTCCTCCTCCTCATCCTCCTCCTTCTCATGGTCATCATTCCTCCATCCACTTCTCCTCCTCCTCCTCCTCCTCCTCCTCCTCCCCTTATTCTTCGTCGCCCCATTCCCAAGCAGCAGACAGGCAGTCGTACCTCGCTTTGGCCACCCTCTGGCCACTCCCTGGCCTTCTGGCAGCCACCTACTCCCCACCGTGGCCCCGAGGGTGGCCGCGCGAGGACGAGGGGGACGAGAGGGAGACGGGGAGGACGGGGAGGAGGGGGAGGAGGCCGGGTGGAGTTGGAGGAGGGGGACGGTGGGTGGGGAGGAGAGGGAGGAGAAGTAGGATGATGATGATGATGTGATGATGATGATGAGATGATGATGATGATGATGATGATGCTGATGATGATGATGATGATGATGATGATGATGATGATGATGATGATGAGATGATGATGATGATGATGATGATGATGATGATGATGATGATGATGATGAGGAGGAGGAGGAGGAGGAGGAGGAGGAGGAGGCGGAGGCGGTGGGATGGGGAGGAGGAGGAGGCTGATGACGAGTGGAGGTGGAGGCGGAGGCGGATGGGAGGAGGGGAGGGAGGAGGAGGAGGAGGAGGAGGAGGAGGAGGAGGGAAGCAGGAAAAGGAGGAGGAGGAGGACAAGAATAATGAGGAGGAGGAGGGGAGGAGAAGCAGGATAAGCGGAGGGGAGGAAGGGTGGGAGGGAGGCGGAGGAGAGGAAGGAGGATGGGGAGGTGGAGCGGGGAAGGAGGAGATGTGGTGGTGGGGGCTGACATTGTTCGACCTTGCCTCCCTGGGCCCCCACGGCTCCAAGGGCTCGGGCGTCGCGTAATACGTAGGTGGGCGAGAAATTGGGGGGGTGAAGCACGTGCACCTCTTGTGCACCTCAGGGGGCCCCAACGGGGCACGAAAGGTGCACAGTTCTCCCCGCCCCCCTCGTTGACTGCCCCCCCGGGTACAGTCACGATGCTGAAATCAGGACCGCTTTCGGCTCAGGAGGCGCTTGGGTTGTTGGGCCGTTCCTCAGATGATCTTATAGTGGAGCCGGTTTTCGGCCCAGGCCCGCTGTGGCCCGACAAGCCTCGCTGTTACTCCTTGGGCGTTCCCACTGGTAGCACGGTGGCTATGCAGTCAACGCGCCTAGTCAGGACGCGCGCCTTCATCCAGGGTGCCCTTACGTCCTTGCCTCTGCGGCCCATCACTCGCCGTTTTCGCTGGTCGCCCGCCGCCCAACAAGTCCCAACTTCGGCCTCCAAGGGTCTTTCGTTATGATGCTCCAACCTACTTTAGCCTTGACCGCAAGAAAGAATTTCGAGCACCAAGAAAGTACCGAAACTGGAGGGTTCACGTGAGGGACTCTGGGAGGCGATACTCGTTCGACACTGTTTCGATACTTTTCTGGATGCTCGACATCATTTCTGGGAGGCGATCCTCCGGCACGATGGGAGCAACAAAAGTCGTGCGTCCTTACCACCCGTCCTCAATATAGACTTGGACTGTACGCAACGCCCGAAGGGCGGCCGAGCGACCGCGCGCGAGCCTCGGCACCCGCCATGGCCTTCTCCTTCCACGAGTCCCTGCGGCGCCTCGAGGCCGGCGCGGCCCCGGGCGGCGCGGCGGCCCCGAGGCCTGCGGGGCACGTCGTCCGCCGCCCGCCGAACTGCCGCCCGCCGCCCCGCCGCCCGCGCTCGACTGGCGAGCCTGCCGAAGGCTGCGAGCCCCCCTCGTGCACGGGGCTCGAGCACTCGAGGGCTCTCGAGACAGGAAGGGCTCCCAGCCACACGAAGCTGGCGGTCTGTGGGCGCTCTCGGAGGGGGGGGGTTGGAACCGGACTCCCCCCCCGACCCCCCCCCCCTCTCCCGTGACCGAGGGGGGGGGGGTTCGAACCCCCCCCCTCTCCTCCCTCCTCCCCTACTCCTCCCTCCTCCTCCTCAGGCCGGCGCTGGCGTCGGCGGCGGCTGGCGGCGGCGGCCCCGGCGTCTTTTGGGGCCTCTCTGAGGTGGTCGTGTTGTTGTTGTTGGTGGTGGTGGTTTGTTGTGGTGGCTTGTGGTGGTGGTGGTGGCGGTGGCGGTGGTGGTGGAGGTGGTGGTGGTGGTGGTGGTGGTGTGGTGGTTGGTGGTGGTTGTGGTGGTTCTGGTGGTGGTGGTTGTGGTGGTTGTGGTGGTGGAGGTGGTGGTGGTGATGGTGTGGTGGTTTGTGGTGGTGGTGGTAGTTGTGGCGGTGAGTTGTGGTGGTGGTGTTGGTGGTGGTGGTTTGTCGTGGTGGTTGTGGTGGTGGTAGTGGTTGTGGCGCGAGGTGGGTGGTGGTGGTGGTGGTGGTGGTGGTGGTGGTGGAGGCGGTGCTGGTGGCTGTGGTGGTGGTTTAGTTGTGGTGGTGGTTGTCGTGGTGGATGGCGGTGGTGGTGGTGGTGATGGTGGTGATGGTGGTGCAGCTGGTGGTGGTGTGGTGGTTTGTTGTGGTGGTGGTGGTGGCTTTTGTGGGTTGTGGTGGTGGTGATGGTGGCGGTAGTGATGGTGGTTGTGGTGTGGTAGTTTGTTGTTGTGGTTGTGGTGGCGGTGGTGGTGGTTGCAGGTTGTGGTGGTGGTGGAGTTGGTGGTTGTGGCGGTGGTGGTGATTGTGGTGGTGGTTTGTGGTGGTTTGTGGTGGTTGTGGTGGTGTGGTGGTGGGTGGTGGTGGTTGTGATGGTGGTGGTTTGTGATGGTGGTGGCGTGTGGTGGTGGTGGTGGTGGTGGTGGGTGGTGGTGGTGGCGGTGGTGGTGGAGGTGGTGGTGGTGGTGGTGGTGTGGTGGTGGTTGTGGTGGTTGTGCTTGTGGTGGTTGTGGTGGTTGTGGTGGTGGCGGTGGTGGTGGTGACGGTGTGGTGGTTTGTGATGGTGGTGTTGGTAGTTGTGGTGGTGATAGTGGTGGTGGTCGTGGCGGTGGTGGTGGTGTGGTGGATTGTGGTGGTGCTGGTAGTGTTGGTGGGTTGTTGCCAGTTGTTGCGGTGGTGGTGGTGGTTTGCTATTGTGGTTCTGGTGGTGGCGGTGGTGGTGGTGGTGGTAGGTTATGGTGGTGGTGGCAGTAGTGGTTGTGGCGGTGGTGGTGGTGCTTGCGTAGTGGTTTGCGGTGTTGGTAGTGGTGCTGTTCGTGTTGGTGTTGGTGCTGGTGGTGGTTGTGGGTGGTGGGTGGCGGTTGTGGTGGTGGCGGTGGCGGTTGTGGTGGTGGTTGTGTGGTGGGACGTGGTGGTGGTGGTGGTGAGTTGTGGTGGTCGTGGCTTGCGGTGGCGGTGGTGGTGGTGGTGTGGTGGTTTATGGTCGTGGTTGTGGTGGTTGTTTCGGATGTGGTGGGTTGTGGACCAGGAGGGTTGTGCTGGTGGTGGCGGTTGTGGTGGTGGTGGTGTAGTGGTTTGTGGTGGTGGTGGTTGTGGTGGTTGTGCTGGTGGTGGTGGAGGCCGTGGTGGTGGTGTTGTCCTGATTTGTTGTGGTGGTGGGGTTGGTGGTGGTGGTGTGGCCTTCGGGTCTTCCCGCCACTGCGTCTTGGCTTTGGGTCGCAGTTCTAATGGATGCCTCTTGTGGTCTCGTCAGAGGGGTCTTGGGGGCGTCTGAGGAGCATGTGCGAGGGCTCCTGGGCGACTCATGGGCGTCTCCTAGAGCTTCCCGAGTGCCCCGGGTGGCTTTTAGGGACTGAGGGCTCGATAGGGCGATTTGCATTTTCCCAATACGGCCTCTGGGCTCCCTCTGGTTATCGTCGCTGCGTTTTGCCGTTGGTGCTCCCGGCCGCCGCCAGCGCAGGAGCCAGCACTGGCACCGAGGAATGAGGTGCGGGGGGGTGGGGAGGATTTCGACCCCCCCCCCTGGGGAAGCCGGAAGACAAAATATTGGGGGAGTTGGAATCCTTACTCCTTTCCCGGAGGAGGGGGTGAACCCCCCCCCATCCTTGGGAGGGGGGGGGTAGTGGGGGGTGGGGGACGGGGAGGGTTAGGGGGGAGGGGAGTCCCAGTGGTTCTGATCGACGGCGCCGAGTGTTGGGGGGAGGCCCTCCCCTGTTCGAAACGCGCCGCCGACTGTTCCCAAGGCACGTTCCCGTGAAACGCTTTCTCTCGGACGTCAACGTCCTGCGGTGATCGTGGAGGGAGCACGCTGCGCAGAGGTCTGACCTAATCTGCCCCTCGCCCGCGGAAGAGGCGACTCTTCCGCAGGGCGTGCAGCTCGGTATCGTTTAACCGATCTCCTGATGACCCCCCTTCGGAGGAGGAAAGGGCGGAGGAAGAAAAGGCACCCATACCGTCACCCTGCCCTCGTGCTCGCCCTTTTGGGCCTCGCGGGAGGCCCTCGTCGCCACCGCTGGATTCGCCTCGAAATGATGGTCCGAACGCGGCCCGGGAGAGGTCCGGGGAGCAGCTTCATCGGGTTTGTTTGCCCCTCGAAGCCCAAAGGGGAGCGGGATAGGGATCGGCGAAACGGATGCTCAGCAGCCCTGGCGTCTGCCCGCACGCATCTTGCCCTGGCCATTCCTCGGGTTCGCGGCATCGGATTCGACCGCCGTGCCCCAGCGTCAAATCCCAAGTCGCCCTCTTGACGGGCCCTCCCCGAGTCGCGAGGCCTCCTCGTCTGCTCTTTCCCCTCCTCGCCCATCCCCTCCTGTTCGTCGTCGTAGGCGTCGTCGTCCTCCTCCTCCTCGTCCTGATCCTCTTCCTCCAGCAGGCAGGTGAGGACATTGTCTTCCTCCTCCTCCTCCTCCTCCTTCCGTAGCCAATGTGGCGCAAGACGGATTTCCTTGTGTTTGTTTAGCTCAAGCCAGCGTTGCGTGGTCTCCTGCACGCTTAGTTAATTATTTGTCTGTTGCTTTGGAGTGTGCAGGTGTGATTGTTGTGCAGTCTTTATCGCCATGGATGTGACATGTGGGCGAGTGTCCTGCTTTGCGAGTCGCGCGCTGCGATCGATTTGTTCGGCTGTCGGGCAACACTAGTCTGGTCTTATTCAAGCTGTGTAATTACTCTAATCGGAAGTGGCTCCCCATGGCAATCCGACGTCGACTTCACCATGTCGCTATTTCGCATCAGCTTCTTCGACATTGTGTGGGAGCCGCCATTTCTCGCGGAATTGGGCGGTCGTGCCAGAAGGTGGCGGCGCCGCCTTGCTGTCCTAGCCGCAGGTGCCTGCTGGATGTGATCGTGGGAGACGTCTGCATGCACTGCTGGGCGTGCGATCGGGCTCTGCAGCTGCTGGTCGGGCTCGCCCTCCGCCTCGCCTCCGCGGCTAGGCTGCCTCGGAGTTCCCGTTTGCCCCCCTCCCGCCTCCCGAAGAGCCGCCTCCCGAAGAGATGCCCATTGCTTGTCCCGGAGAGTTGCCCTTTGCGCACCTCCACCTCCTCCTCCTCCTCCTCCTCCTCCTTCTCCTCCTGCTCCTCCTCCTCCTCCTCCTCCTCCTCCTCCTCCTCTCCTCCTCCGCCTCCTCTTCATCCTCCTCCTCGTCATCCTCCTCCTCTTCCTGCCCGCGCGTTCTTCCGGATACTCGGCTCGGTGGTGGTGGTGGTGGTGGTGGTGGTGGTGGTGGTGGTGGCGCCTCCCTCGCAGCTGCCGCCCTGCTCGGACTCGCAGCGCGGCCCCAGAGCTGGACGGGGGCCCTGGGGATCGGCGGGAGCGGGGGGCCTCCTTGCCCCGCCACCTTCAGCCGCCTCTCCCCACCTCTTCTCCTCCTTCCTCTCTCTGTCTGTCCCCCTCTCCTTCTTTCCCTCGTTCACCCTCGCTCTGCGCCCTGTTCTTATTCTTATGTTTATTATGATTATTCAGAATTCCGTTTTCTCCTAGTACTATGATTATTGCAATTGGCATGCTTTTTGTTATTATTGCAACAATTTCTCTCATTGTCCCTCCTCTTCTTTCTTCCTCTCTTCTGCCTCGCCCCTCTCTTCTCAATGCTCCCCTGTTCTCCTTGATTTCTCTCTCTCTCTCTTTCTCCCCATCCCTCCTGCTGGGCCTGGAGCCTGGGCTCGTGAGTGAAAGCGCTGTCTTCGACTGCTCCGCCTGCCCCGGCACTCTTGGTCTGTGGCGGCTGGGGTCGGTGCGCCCAGCAGGGGAGTCTGGGCGGTCCATGCATCCGTGCACGCCCCGCCTGGGGCCTCTCTGGTGTCCTGGGCGGCCCCCCTCTCCACCTGTCTCGGCAGGCCTCAGGCTCCAGGAGACAGCTAGTGGATTCGGAGTCCTCCCAGGGCACCTGAGGAGAGGGAGGGAGAAGGAAGAGGATGAGGAGGAGGAGGAGGAGGAGGAGGAGGAGGAGGAGGCTCGGAGGGAGCGGCAGGATGAGGGCTTGGGAGGAGGATGTTCTTCAGGAGGAGGCGGAATGTTTTGGCTTGAGATCCGAAGGTGCACATCGATACAGTATCGACTCACTTACATCTCTTTTCAGGCTGACCTCAGCGTGCGCCCACGTGGCCCGCGCCTTTTCATCATCATACGCGACATTCCAGAACCGGCTTGGCATAGACGAGCTCGTGCCCAGCGGCACCAGGCTCGTGTACTCACAGCGGTGCACCAGGCCTACGTACAGCTCGCCGAGCACCACAGCTCCTACATGAATAGAGGCACACAGCAGCAGCAGCAGCAGCAAGGTAGATGGAAGTGCAACAACTGCAGCAAGCTGGTCAACAA